CATAACCAACCGCTTCAACACGTCCCTTGCTTGATGGGGGGGCCAGGAGGAAACTCTCCTGGAGTGTGGTTGAATGTTCGGGTGTAGTGTCCCCTTAAGACCTTTGAAAAACATGTTTAACCAAATCCTGGGCGTTTTGTTTTCTCTCTGAGGGGACGCATTCCAAACCCTTCCGAAAACACCCCTTGAAGGGTGTTCCTACCCCCGCAAGAAACCCTCCTTGACGGGGGGATGTGAGGTCCGGCCTGCATTGACAAGGTTTTTGGGGGAGGTCCGGGGGACCGTCCCAAAACCTATGCCAAACGTTTCTTGAAGGGTTTTGGGGGGATTCCGAGGGGACCCCCCCGTAACCCTTCTAACTTCCCTCTTTCGAAAATTTGGGCGGGTTCCTGGGACCCCCCCCAAAACATTGTTTTGAGAGTTGTTCTTTAATGGGTCCTGGAAGGAAGCCTCCCTGACCAACAAGTAAAATACCCTTCAACTAGGTTTGGGCTCCTGGGGAAGCCCCCACTTAGCCTCCCCAGACAAATTTTGGGGGAGGGGGGGGTCCCGAGGAGGAAGCCCCCGGGGTTTTTGGACCCCTTCCCGAACCCTCCCTAAACCATGGCAATCCTTATTTCGTACAAGTTGTTTGCAGAAGTCCTGGACAAAACCAACCCTGCCCCCTCGAGCGCACTCCTCGAGGCGTTTTTCTTGTTGGATCGGGTGCCTGGGGGACCCCCCCAACCCCTCCAAACATTCCCTTTGAAGGAAATTGTGAGGGGGGTGGCGGGAGGAAACCGCCCTAATCCCACCAACCCTCTGGGCGCAGGTGGTTTAACGAGTTGTGTTTTCTCTCTTTGTCCCCGATGCCTCTGTCCCCTGCTCGTGGGCGGGGTTTATCACTGTTCCACATACACCCCCTCCCCCAAGCGACCGGCAGCCTACCAGGAACCACGAGGATGCGGGCCCCTCCCCCACTATCCCTGTCAAACAGCGATGCAAACGCACTCTGCCTCCGGATTTGGAACATGCGCAGCCAAAACTATGCAGCCCCCCACCATCCCTGTCAACAAAACAATACACAATACATTTGGGGGCATAGTCTTGGGTCATATCTGAAGCCCACGAGCATTCTGTATTGCTTTGACAAGGGCGGCAGGGGTGTCAGCATATCGCCTGCTGTGCGCGGGGGTACCATCCATAACAAAAAACCGTACAACATGCACTTCGCGGCCGCATCTGAATCATGCGCGGCCAACCCGCGATCACTGTCAACTGATGTTTGCCAGGGACGGCGTGGGTGGTGGCGTATGGCCTGCTGTGCGCAGGCCCACTTGACACAATGATGGGCATCGGCTTTCGACAAGGATGGCGGGGGCCGACATGTTTCCCGATGAGTGCTGTCACGTGCGGAGGCTCACCTGACACACTCTGCGCGTGGCCCGAACGTGGCGTGGCGCACTTGGCGCGGTTGGAGTATGCGGTACATCTGGCGCATCTGGCGCACCAGGCGTGCCTGGCACGCTCGGGCCCCACGGGTGCCTGGCACGCGTGGCGCGCTTGGCACGCGTGGCGCACCTTGCCCCAGCGACGCGCACCTGGGGTCGGCTTTGGTTCCCAATAACTGCCCATCCAAAGACGACCTCTGAACATGCTCAGGCTCGGGTGTCATTTATGAGTTGGGAGGGCGGGTGGGAGTGAGCTAGACGGTTTGCTATCTAGGGGGTGTCTTAATCACTGTTCCTTTTTTTAATATACACCCCATCCCCCAAGCGACCAGGGGCCAACCCGAAAACATGCCGACACCATGCCGACCCGCCCCCCACCGTCCCTGTCAAAAGGCAATACAAATCGCAATCTGCCTCCACATTTGGAGCATGCGCGGCCAACCCGATGCGGTCCCCCCCCCCACCACCCTGTCAAAAGACAGTGCAAACATTATTTTGGGGCAAAATCTTGAGTCATGTTCGGGAGGCCCGCGAGCACGTTGTATTATTTTGAAAAGGACGGCGAAGGTGTCAGCATATCGCCTGCTGCGCGCAGGGCTACCATCCCTGATGACAAATAAATGCACCATGCACCTCGCAGCGAAATCTGGATCATGCGGCCATCCCGTGATCACTGCCAAGTGGTTCTTGTCAGGGACTGCGGGAGTGGCGGCGTATGGCCTGCTGTGGGCAGGCCCACCAGACACAATGATAGGCATCGGTTTTCGACAAGGGCGGCGGGGGTGTCAGCATATCGCCTGCTGTGCGCGGGGATACCATACTGAACAAAAACCATAGAAAATGCACCTCGCGACCAACTCGGAATCATGCGCGGCCAACCCGCGATCACTGCCAAGTGGTTTTTGACAGGGACGGCGGGGGTGGTGGCGTATGGTCCGCTGTGCGCAGGCCCACTTGACACAATGATGGGCGTCGGTTTTCGACAAGGATGGCGGAGGCCGATATGTTTCCCGATGTGTGCTGTCGCGTGCGCAGGCGCACCTGTCGCACTCTGCACGTGCCCCGAATGCGGCGCACCTGGCGCGGCTGGAGTATGCGGCACACCTGGCGCACGCGGAGCACGTGGCGCATCTGGCGCACCAAGCGTGCCTGGCCCGCTCGGGCCCCAAGGGTGCCTGGCGCGCGTGGCGCCCCTGGCACGCGTGGCGCACCTCGCCCAAGCGTCGCGCACCTGGGGTCGGCTTTGGTTCCCAGTAGCTGCCCATCCAAAGACGACCGCTAAACATGCTCAGGCTCGGGTGTTACTTATGTGTAGGGGAGGGCGGGTGGGAGTGAGCTAGACAGCTTGCGGGCGGGTGGGTAGCTTGACCCCTCCCCCTACTGCCCCTCCTCTGGGCCTGGGAGGGGGGGCGCGAGGCGTTAGAGCCCCCAAGATCGCCCAAGATGGCTCTAGGAGGGCCTTAGAGACCCCAAGATTGCCTCCAAGATGGCTCCGGATTACTCAAGATGGCTTGAGGTAGCCTCCGATGTACAGCCAAAAGGCCTCAAACTGCCCCAAAACGGTTTCACGTG